TAAATTCAATATGTAACTGATATCTGATCATCTGAGTCAAGTCTAAATATTCAAGGCTAACAAGTTTTAATACAGTTTTTTAATACAATTTTTTTTTTTTTTTTTATATTTGTCATTAAGAACATGGCAATTAAAAAAAAAACTTATGTTAACTGGTGAGATGCTAATAGACTGTCATTGTTTTTATGTCAATTAATTTGTTTGTTTAATGAACTAGCATATACATGTATTTACAGCAATACTTTTACTTAGTATTTAGTTACTTTTATGTATTTTAATGAATACATTTTGATGAGGTACTTTAATTATTTACATTTTATGCATGTGGGTTTCATAATATTTTCACAACTTTTTTATTGCAGATCTCACAGTACTTTATGGCCTCACTAACACACAAGGTCTCAGAGCACGAGTAAACACCTAAGAGTTCAATCTCTGACTGAGTGCTGGCAGTTCAAGGACACTGTGAGGAGGTAAACACTCCTCTAATCTCATCTGACACACGGTATACTGCAACAGCCTGCTTCAAATGTCTGTTCATACAAGTGGACCAGCACGCGATACAGACACACACATATATATATATATATATATATATATATATATATAATAAACAGCATGATGTACTGTTTTGCTTCACTTTATAACAGTCCCTGCACAGATCAAATGTGAGAATGTTTGATAAACCTCTATCACCACAGCAGACTTCTGTGCTGGACCACCAGGAGGATGGATTTTCCATCAACCACGTTGCCTGCTAATGACCAAGAAAAATAACCATGTGCTCTTAGCATAACCTGTGGAGACTTCATTACTCAACCACCATATCACTTCAAAAACAACACACAGGAAGTGAATGCACAATAAGCACAATCCGTGCAGCCTGTTGATGCAGTAGCCTCTCATTAAACAATGCAGTGTGCTGTACTAGTTAGAGAAGCAATATTTCATTCTCAGCAGCAAGATGAGCAGACATCACCGTAACAGTGGCAGAATCACAGGGGTCACAGAATCCCCAAGGGGTACCGTACGAGGTGCCGGTAATGAGAAATCACTGGATGAGCCGCAGCCAATCAGACTGTGCCATTGAGCATGTCAAAAGCTTTGAGTTATGATTGATTTCTCTCTCAGCTAGAAGGAGTAACAGAGGCATTTAAGAGAGAACAGGGGAGGCGTGCATGTTATTCCAGCACTGGTAATAAAAAAAAACTGAAAAATACAGTCTCAAGGCTGATTGATTTGTATGTCTTTTATATCACTGATCTATGGCTCCCGTAAAATAGCTGATTTAATCCATAGATAAAGAGCTAAAAATCGACTGGATGAAATCCAGACATTCCGTGGTGGGGCTGCATGTTTACTTACATTTCTTCTATATTTCATACTGGTATTTCTTCTTTTATCTTCACTGAGAAAACATCTATAAAAAAAAAAAAATATATATATTTTTTTTTAAATCCAGTCTTCAGTGTTTTTGTTGTTGTTGTTGCTTCTTCTTCTTCTTCTTATTATTATTATTATGTGCTGATTAATATTAGATTTTTTCTAGTTCCAGCAAGTTATAAAGAACAGCATTTATTTTCAATAGAAATCTTTTATCTTTTGTAGCATTATAAATGTCTTTACTGTCACTTTTGATCAATTTATTGCATCACTGATGAATGAAAGCATTAATAAAAATTTTTTAAAAAGCAATGGAATGGTAGTTCCCTGCTGCTGAAAGCATTAATAAAAATTTTTTAAAAAGCAATGGAATGGTAGTGCCATACCTGCTGCATCCACACCAATATGTGTCTGAATATTTTCATATAAGCCAGAAAAACAAACGATTTACATTTTTACATAACAGTAATACAATTTACACAGTGTACTTTCTCAAAGTGTAACATCTCTTAGCCCTCAATGTTCTTCCTCGTACACATTAGCACATATGTTTACACACACAAAAACTCTTTAAAAGACAAATCCCTTATATATCTCTCTCGCACATTTGAGCCATTTTTAGTCTGGTTCATTAATAGCAAAAACCTTAAGGTGAGGAAGACGGGGGACCCTCAAGAGGACCCTGAGGACCCAATAGTGACTGCGCCGTCACCTCATACAGCTGCTCGAGGGCAAACTGTCTTTTCCTCTTAGCAAATGCCGACCCAGACAATCTCAATGGACCGCTCAGCAGCATCTAAAAGTGAGGTCACATGTCCAGTCCCAACAGATCCATTATACTAAAGCCCGATAAACCTGAGCGCGCCAAACTCTGATGGGGTCACATGACACTTTTTGTCTGTTTTTGTTGAGTAAATCTTACAGCAGCACTACAGGTGTAAAAATTCATCCATGCATCATAATGGGTCTATGTGACAATGACAGTATTCAAAGCACTGATTGCATAATCAATTACAATTGCTATAATAATACTCAATGTATTATGCATATTATGCAGTCATAGCTTAAACAAAATACAATTCCTAAGCCTGGTGAATTGTTTCTGTCAGTTTTCTTTTTCAACTGCCACCCCGCAGGCCAAATCCAGCCGTCATTCATTTTTATACAGACCTACAATTGATTTTGATGAATTTGCTTCACTGCCTGATACATTAGAGCACTCTTTGCATGAAACCAGCAACGAGTTCAACTGTGTTTGCCAATCATCAATTGGTTGACCACACAAGCTCTTCAGGCTATAAGCTACACTTGTTAGCTGCACAAAACTTAATTTCTCTCATCATAAAAAATCCATAACCAATGAAATGTATGCAAATAAATATGCAAAAAAGTTGTTTATGTGGACAAATTCTCAGACATAAAAAGCTCACCAGCTATATAGTATATATATATAATCTTTGCATCATTTAGTAAAGCATCAAATTCTAATCGAATTGAAGTCAATATCAATAAAATGCAAGAGTAAATATTTCTTAGTATTCCAGATGCATAAGCTGAAGTATTATGTTTATACATATCTTAATTACATTATTATGCAGACAAGCATATGCCTGCATGGATGGAAAGAGCTGCATTTGGTTGTAATGTGCAACTCTTTCTGAGACTCAGAATTAATGAATGGGATATGATCTTGTCAGCTTGTGTGCTATTTTAATGTAAGACAGCAGCATTTATTAAGATCAGTAAACTGACAGGTGAATGTGTCTAAAATCTTCAGCAGAATGGATTTTGATGCCACCTTCTGTTTACAACACAGCTATATCAAATTGATTAATGCTGTCAGAGAGAGAAATGGATCAATCAGAAGCTTTATCAAATATGATTTAAAGGTAAACAACAGAGCAATGTGTATACAGTATGTGTGCATGTGTGTCTGCATGTTTACCTGTCTGAGCGATATGACCAACCCTATCTATGCACTAAAAGCCATGTGAAGTCAGCCCGAGTGACAGAACCTTTCACTTCCTCTGCTATCTTATCTCACAGGGAATGGGACCCGATGCTTCCAGCTAACAGCTGTTCAAAGCCCTTTGTTCCGTTACGCAGTCTATTCCCCTCACCACAAAGTGCTATTCATTTCCAATCACATGAGCCTGTAATTGCCAACAGCCTGCTTTACAGACCTTTATTTGTGGTGTTCTTTCGACAGCCCGAGACATGTGCCAGTCAGACTGCAGCAAAGAACTGCAATTTGCTGGGCCTTAAATGTTTGCTGGGCTGGAAAAGTATGTGTGCATGCAAACAGTTCTGTTGCTATAAGGATGATGTGTGCAATTTTAAAGTAAAATATCAATACTTTCTCAGTTTAATGTGCTAAATAGCCATGTGTAAGTTGGCTTTTCTCAGACACTGTGATGCTATTAAAATAGCTTTTTAAGCAGACTGATGTAGCGTCTGGACCACTCAAACACACAATATATATTTTGTTTTTATATTTAACAAATACTCTGTAACCCCCCTCAGTTAACAAGCCATTGACCCTGAGAGGTCAAGTAAATATCTACAGCGGATCTAAAATATTCATAATTAATTATAACTAGTTATTATTAATTATTCATATTTCCCATGAGCTGATTCGTTACACTGACATGTCAACTTCTGGCTCATCCAATGGCTTGAGTTGGGGTGGGACTAGGCTACTTGTTTGTCAGACCAATAGCATTAAGTAAGTATAGCAGAAGAAGGGAAGAAAAAGAAAAATAATAATGTTTTGGACTGGAGTCGTGTGGATTATTGTGATGTTTTTATCATCTGTTTGAACTCTCATTCTGACGGCACCCATTCACTGCAGAGGATCCATTGGTGAGCAGGTGATGTAATGCTAAAAAATCTACATCTTGGATGGCCTGAGGGTGAGTACATTTTCAGCAAATTTTCAATTTTGGGTGAACTGTTCCTTTTACTATGTACAACATTTAGTTACACAGTAAATCCATAGTCTTATAGGTATTTAATGTTAGTACATAGTAGTTAAGTCCGCCTAATGTGAACCATGACCAGGTACTGTAATATTGGAAAACATAATCAACATACAAAATGCTCCAAAAACATAAACTGTGGTGCTCATATGACTAATGCAAGTTCAGACATGGCTCACTACTTTTTTCCTCTCACTTACACTATCACCTCCTGTCATTTCAGGTCCTTTTTATAATGTATCCGACAATAAAATAGTAAAAGACCAAAAAGAGAAAAAGAAAAGCTCACACATGCTATGCTGTGAATTACAGAAGCTACAAAAGTTCTGCTTCAGGAAAGTATGACCATAACCATCTCCATCTTGAAGAGCATAGTTTCTGGCCAACATCTTCACAGACGTCATCACCTCTGGCATACATCCTCTGTCTGTTCCTGTCAGGCTGAGGCTGCTCGTGTGGAACTCTTCATATTCAGATGCTCGCCAAGAGGTCACACCTGGTTGCTGTCCGTGACACCTGACAGACACTTGGTGGCCCTGTATCCATGGCAACCGTAGACGGGGATGGGAAGGAGCAGAGGTCAGGTTTGAGACAGGTTTACCTGAAGCTTATGGCTCACACAGGAAATGACCCTCTGAATGGTCAGAGTGAGCAGGGGGTGGTCTGAAGGACTGATCTGGATGGTGGAAAGCAGAAGAAGAGATTAGAGGCCACCTGAGGAGAAGGGTGGTAAACTAAAAGACCGATGAGTGCCTCAAAGTGACAAGGTAATTGGCAAATATCAACTTAATCTCAGGATTGGCCACTTAATGGTTTCAAGAGGTACTTTGTGACTACAGATCGAGCATCTCATTTTGACTGTGAGGGCATTGCGCAGAATCAGGGTTACCAGATGCTCAATTAACAAGGTAATTTCATAAGTATCTGAAGCACATTACAAGCCAATAGTAATGCACTCTTGTGAGGAAGACACAGATGTTGCATAGATTTGTTTCTCCTTCTTAATCCCACTTGGGAAATGGGACTTCAGAGCAGCTGAGAGACATCTGAGCGTTCACAGCTATGAAACAACCACTACTTTATGAGAGTGAGTGTGCAAAAACAGGTCCAGAACTTGATTTGTCAGCAGTTATTGTGTTGTATATAGGCATTGTTTGTAATCACATATTGTATTAGTACTGAATGTTTTACCTTGAATAAAACAAGGGTGTAGTATTTATAAAAGTTCCTGTTGTTTATCAAACAAAATACATAACCCCAGCTGTGAGTGAAGTTTGGGCTTTGCTGTAATGCTTTCACAAATCATTTTGTTTCATTAAACAGTTTTAATGGAGAGGGAATAATAAATGGTGTTTAGATACAAACAGGGTGTTGCATCAAAACAGAAAATGCTTAAAAGTGCTAAGTAAAATGAGAGCTGAGAGAAATAAAGAAAGGCTATATTTAGAATATCATACTATTATACAAGTCAGACTATTTGTTTAGTATTCAGTTCATATACAATGCACAGTATAAACATTTTCCATATGCATGAAATATCTGGATGGCTCGCTACATTTGACAAAGTGTGCAGAATACAGTATACAAAACACAGTGTGTGGAAAACTGTATCCATCCATTCTCCAAACCACTAATTCCCTGTAGGGTCACAGAGATAACGTAGCCTAGGAATACTGTATCCCACCATGCAATTCACATTACTTGATTTACTATTTCCAGTGTATGAAATGAATAGGAAGTAATATAGTCTGCATTTAAAAAAATGTGCTAAAATGCAACAGAACAGATTTAAATCTGAGATGAACTCGAAGTAAATGTATTGTAATGAGGTCACGTGAGAGCAAAATAGCATGCTGTTTTACATTTTTTTATATCATTTAAATGTTTATTAAAATAGTATATAATTCTAGTAATAAACAGCCAATATGCTAGAAATATGCATGGTGGTTAATAGTGAAAATTGGTCCTTAAAATAGTGTTACCTTAAAATTTGGACTGTATACTGCACAGTGTGCTGTGTGCTATTCCATTCCAAACACAGCAAATGACTAAAAGAAATAGTTAGGTGGCCTGAAGTGAATGAATGAAGTGGACGTAGTACAGCAGGAGAGAGTCTGAAAGCCATAGAAAAGAGAAGATGACAATTTGTGATGGAAAGAAAAAGGACTGAGAGTGGAAGAAGCACACAACTGTCACTGGGATGTCCCTTGGGTGAAGGGGTAGAGGGTGCTTGAGTAAAACATGTCTGACAAGCCAGATCAGAACCGCTGACACACATCCAAAGCAAAACTCTGGACATGCACTGCACCGGCAGGCTACCTAAACACACACACACTAAACTCAGTGTGTCATTGTTTCGCAAACATAAACCGGTTCTCATTTCAAAATGAAGCCCAAATCCTGAACTTTTTTACTTGGCAAGACAGCAATGAGCAAAGATATTGCTTAGGGTGAAGGCAAAGCCTTACATAAATTCCTGAGGAGCGAGACAAAACAAGTAGCTAAAAACCAATTACAACCCTAACAGATTCTTTTCACAAAGTGTGTTAGAGTGAAAGCAGACCCAATGCTGTCCCCTTTATCTGTGCCTCTACCAGAAATCTCAAAAAGGAGAGAAAAATGCCTTTCATTTTCTAACTTTGATTAAACTTTCTCTCTTTTTATTGAGGAAAGTTTGGCTCTAAATAAGAGGGAAAAGCAAGGCTTGCTTTGTGTGGCTATTCCTTCGTCTTGTTGACCTTTACTTCAATCTGTTTGAACAGCTCTGTGGACGCGCCGAGACCGAGTTCATTCAAGATGTGATTGCACACAGCACTAACAAGAGCGGGCTGGTTTGGACAGAACAAGATCGAAACATTAGAGGGAAGATTGGTCTCAGGTTTAGAGAGATTACTTACAAGTTGTATGTTGTAGAGCAATGTGAAACGATTCTCGGTCAATTATAACTAACAATCCTCAGCATCAAGTTTCATCAGTGTTTAGTCTTTGTTTATCTGTTGCACCAATGCGGTTTTAGAAGTACACTGAATTCGATAATGACAAGACTGGTTGAAAGACAGTAAAACAATGAGCAGGACTGAGATAGACAATATCATATTTCATACAACTTCAAAAAAATCTAAACGAAAGTAAAAACATTTGGGAGGAAAATGGCTTAGCTAGTCAGAAATCCTGGACAGCACTGTATTCTAATATGAATGAGAGTGAACATAATATGTAATTTTCAGCCCTATCACAGCCTTTCTTTTTGTTTAAACGCTGTTTGTTCAGTTGCCTTGTGAATAATTTAAGCTTTGAAATCTGTTCCGTATCTCTGACAAGCAGGTCTATTATAATTATGGGCCGCTACATTATTATGATTACCAATTGAGAGGAGAGAGAGAGAAAGACTAGAGGAAGCAAGAGAGAAGCTGCTTTCCTGGGTAACCATGAGATGATATGCGAAATGAAAGAAATATTCGCTGAATTTCTCATTTAAGTCGGACGTCTCTGCTCCAATCGGGAGACAATTTATTCATCTGACAATATGAAGAATGTAAGATGCATATCATCTGCACTAATGAGACTGAAGCACCCGGAACATCAGCACAATCAGAGAGAATAGCGAATCATTTAGTCAGGTTTGTTGCTGGCGATTAGAAAAACCTCAATCGTCATCTTTCTCCTGGTGATTTGATCTGCTTTCCAAATCATCTCTTGTGTCTCTAAGATTGGGATTTGGGATGAGGAATATCTTAATTTCATGTTTGACGAGGCTCGGGAGGTGTAGATTGGAACAGACAGGTTCAGTTTGAAACCCCTCAGCGTGTCATTATGGCAGCAGAATTATATGCCAATTTGTAATATGACTGGCATCGACACAAGCACAAGGCATTTATGATGGACATAAAATGTACAGCTGAAATGGCAAGTTTCAATTGATCTGTTACAGACAAGCAATCTTTAGATTCTTATTTCTCAGTTTTGCTAAATAACTGGTAAATATTTAAATTTACAGTAAGGTTCTATACATTTACAGCAGGGTTATTACAGTTGAAAAACTGAAACTAACATTAAAACCATTTTATATATATATATATATATATATACAGTATATATATTTCTGTGGCTATGCATTCATAAATCAATAGCTAAAATGAAAAAAATGAACAGCATTCATTAATCAAGGTTCACGTTAACTTTTACATATTAATAAATTCAACATTCAAAGTTTAATGAATGAACATTTATTATGTATTATGTAAGTATTATGAACAAACAAATTAACAATGAACAATAGTATTAGTATTTTTAAATGACTATTTACTTACATTAATAAATGCTGTAAAAAGAACATTTCATGATACCTACAGAGTATAACTTAAAGGACACGGTGCAGAGGAAAATAGATTATATTATAAAACGTTATTTATAAAATATTGTATTTTATGCAATATAATATAAACGATTATATTAAAATATTATTTACAATTATATTTCAATGCTTTTGTTTTATTTTCCAAAAAACTTTTGTAGTGCTTTTGCAAGCGAATGCAACATTTTTGGGATGTAACAGTAGCCACACCATTAGCCGAATGTCAAAATGTTTGTGTTCCTCCCAAAAAATGTTGTATTCGCTTGCAATGGTTTGAAGGTTTGGTGGTGTGGGAATTGCGATCACGATCTTCCAGGTTTGAAGAGTGATGAACTCCAAAGATCATTTAGATCATCAAAATACGAAATTGTAGTTAACATACATGGTATAGGTGAGGTTATATTAACTACTGATTGTATCATAACACATGCATAAAGAGTATACAATACAAAAGACAATATACAAGAACAGTAATAATACACACAATGACCTGGGGATATGCATATTCATTCATAGAAAGGTTTGGCTATGAATTAATGAAAGAAGTCCTTTCCTATGGGCAGTATGTGTCTGATTCAAAGTGACTTCCAGTGGGGTGAGGTGAGCATCATTGGGCCATAAAACCAGTCTTACACTCTTAAAAATAAAGGTGCTTCACGATGCCATAGAAGAACCTTTTTGTCTAAATGGTTCCATAAAAAACCTGAATCTGAAGAATCTTTCTGTTTCACAAAAGGTTCTTTGAGGCGAAATAAGGTTCTTCAGATTACAAAAAGGTAAGAAAGAGATGGTTCTTTAAAGAACCTTTGACTGAATGGATCTTTGTGGAACCAAAAATGGTTCTTCTATGGCATCGCTTGAAGAACCTTTTGAAGCACCTTTATTTTTAAGAGTGTACCTTGCAGTGTGTCCTTTCTCCTATGGTAACCAGAGGCCTGGGCTGCATTTCCCAAAAGCATCGTAACTCAATAAAACTCAATAAAAGCATGCTGTCAGAGATCGACCTCTCCTTGTTGCTCGCTTTCCAAAAGCATCCTACGAGAACCAAATTTAACTTTTTTTTTCTTCTTTCCTCCCCCCCATCCAAACATTATGCCTGCCTCTGCGGGCTGCGATTTATTCTGTCGTTTCGCTGACCTCAACAGAATCCGCAATAACAAAGCATCTAAATGTCATATGGTTATATAAACAGCCGCTCTAACTACAGTCAGCTGAGCTGCACTTTATTACAGATGTTACAACGCGATATATCAAATATGACAAGGTTTTCATATTCCTTTTAACGGTTTGCATAGATATTGAATAGTGGGTGTCCAAAACTT